CCTCATTCACTCCACTCCCGACATTATAGCAGTCTTCCTTTTCCTACAACACTTGAAGTTTGTTTCACCCTTTGAGGTTGTTGTTCCCCTTGCTTTGAAAACACTCTGTCCCCAGATCTTCAAATGGCTAGATCTTTATCATGTTTTAGGTTTTGGCTTAAACCATACCTCTGCAGTGAGGCCTTCCCCTGAACCTAACCTAAATTAGCACTTCCTCTTTCCTAGTCACACTGAATGACAGCACCATGTTTCATTCTCCTCACAGCACTATCACTGCCTAAAATAATGTTGTTAATTTTTTCACTTACCATCGATCTTTCCCTGCTTGAACGCAAATGCCACAAGAGCAGAGACCTTGTTTGTCTTTTACCACTGTATCCCCAGTGCCTAGAAAAGTACCCATCAGAAGCAGGTGCTCAATAAAAATTTGTTAAATAAATAAAAGGAAAAAAGAAAACATAATTCCTGCTCCTGAGGAATCCAGCCTTGTGGGGGATATCAATAAAAATATGAATGATTACAACACAATGTTAAGGGCTTTGGAAAAGGTAAACGTTGGGTCCTCTGGGAGCAGAGAGGATGGAGCCAGTCTCGGGACAAAGTAAGTTTTCTAAAGGTAATTGCATTTAAATATGAGATCTAAAAGACAAGTTGGAATTGGCAGCCTAGGCGGAGGGAGACGTGGGTAAAGTTTTCCAAGCAGAGGTAGCAGTTAAAGTTCAACAAGCAAAAAAAGACTGTAACCTGACAGTAAGAACAGAATAAATGGACAGAATTGGAAGACACTTAGGAAAGAAAGTTGCAGAGCTTAATGGTTAATTATATGAAAAAGATGAGTAAAAAGGAAGAATTAAAGATAATGCCCAAGGTTTGGGGTTGGGAAACTATATGAATGGTGTCTTCATTCACACACACACAAAAAACAGAAGCAAAAGCAAGTTTCAAAGAGAAAGTTCAAATTAGTTTCAGATGACCGAGACTTCAGAATGGAAGCATCTAATAAACAATTTGATAAATGTGTTCCAAATTCAAGAGAAATAGATTGGTCAGAAATATAGATTTGGGGCCGGCCTGGTGGCGCACTGGATAGTGCGCCGCTTGGGAAGCGCGGCGGCGCTCCCGCCCGAGGGTTCGGATCCCACATACAGACCGGTTCCCACTCACTGGCTGAGCGAGGCGCGGGAGCAACGCCGAGGTTTGCAATCCTGTTGCCGGTCCCCGGTCCGGTACGGGGGCAACACTGAGGGTTGTGATCCGTTGCCGGACATGGAAAAAGACAAAAGACAAAATAAGTGCGCCGCTTGGGAAGCGCGGTGGCGCTCCCGCCCGAGGGTTCGGATCCCACATACAGACCGGTTCCCACTCACTGGCTGAGCGAGGCGCGGGAGCAACGCCGAGGTTTGCAATCCTGTTGCCGGTCCCTGGTCCGGTACGGGGGCAACACTGAGGGTTGTGATCCGTTGCCGGACATGGAAAAAGACAAAAGACAAAAAAAAAAAAAGAAATATAGATTTGGATGTGTTTAGCATAAAGATGACAAATAATGCCATGGTAGTAGATGAAGTCACTCAAAGAGGTCTCACTAAGAAGATTACACCAGCTCAGTACGCTGAAATACAACAATATTGAGTGGCTAGGAAGATAAACAGGGGTCCATAAGAGAAAGTTTTAAGAAGAAGCAGGAATGAAAAAGAAAAACATGGAAACCTAGTGTAGTGGACTGAATTATGTCCCCCCCAAACTCACTGAAGGTTAAATGGTGTTCCCCAAGTTTTATGTATTAGAAACTTAGCCTCCACTGTGACTGTTAAGAAGGTGAGAAATCCTATTGCGGTAATTAAAAGGTGGAGCCTTGAAGATGTGATTGGATCGTAGGACTGCGCAGTAATGAATGAATTTTAAATGGTGGTCAGGGATGTGGTTCTGAGGGTCCTAAAAGAAGAGAGAAGAGTCTCTCTCTCTGCTCTCTCTGCTTCCACCATCTTGCAAAGTGAGACCCCTGAGTCACTGCTGCCACCGTCAGATGGACTTTGAACTTCCCAGCCTCAGAAACTGTAGGCAATTTTGTTTTTCTTTATTAATCACCCAGTTCCAGCTATTCTGTTATAAGCAACAGAAACAGATTAATACACTTAGGGACTATGACATTTCAAGGTGGTGGTGGCGAACAATGTTAAAAAGCTGTCAATAGATAAAATAATATAAAGACTAAAAGAGTAGACAGGCAAAGCCATCTCTATCAAATTAGAAAGTATTTATCTTTTTACTGTTAAAATCAAATTTCCCTAAGAACTATGGAGGAAAGAAATACAAGAACAAAAATAAATTCAACAAATTCTAGTTCATGGTAAAGTTTGGATTTTCCTTTAAATCCTATTTGCTCCTTTTAATTTTTTAGCAGTGGGTATAGGCTGATAATATTTTTTTCAACTTGAATTAATAGAGAAATCATAAAATAAATATCCTTCATTCCTGGTATTTTGCATTCCAACTGCTAATTCCAGAGTTCCATTTTGCCACAAGGAAGCTATTCTCGGCAGCTAGTCCAAGACTGCACAAAACAAACTAAACTACTCAAAGGATCAGGTTTCTCTCCCTGTTTAAGTCACTAACATTATGCAGAGGCTATGTCAATAAGCTTGTTCTGTAGCAAGAATACATGAGTGGTTTTTTTTTTGGTTTTGTTTTTCTAAATTCTGATTCACAAAGAGGCAATGTAGCTGAATGAATTAATAAATTTAAGGCTGTAAGGCAGAAGTTTTAAACATTAAATTCACCTTTGGAAATTACTTTCTGACCAACTCTGAGAATGTTCTATAACAGAAAACAAAACAGCAAATAATTAAATAATCCTAAATCAGATTGAGATAATTAGTCAAATGAAAATTAAACAATTAGAAACAATTATATAAATGGAGGCAAGAAAACACTGATAAATATAACATCAAAAATAAGTTAAATTCTCATGACAATTGCAACTACTTATTGACAAAATCTGATTGGTGTTTTTAGGAACATAACAGGAACTAGGCCCCATATGGGAAAAATTTCCTTGGGGTCTTGCAGGGTTAGCATTCTAAAAGTGATGAAGTCAAGCTATAAGGCAAATACAGAGTTAGCTCTTCCTTCTCCACTCTCACTCTGGCATATGATACTTTGACCATTTCAGCTTTCTCCTCTTACAGGAAGTAGCCACTCAGTAAGAAAGAACAAAGAGATCTAGCTTAGAAATGACTCAGTAACTAGAATAAAATCATTACTAACATGGAGTAGAAGTCAGATATGTACTGTTTTAGTTAACTAAAACCATTTGGAATCATGAAAGAGGACTGGAATCAGCTTGTAGGTTGCCAATTCCTGCTTTGGGCCAATTCTCATTAAATACTGGGCATTACGCCAGTGCAAACACATTTAATCCTCAAATAACACAATGAGTTATCCCACTGTAAAGTTAAGAAATCAAAGGATGGGAGAGATCTCAAGTCACCAAGCTCATAGGCAGTATTTTAATTCTTATTATAATCTTTAAAAATCTCTATATACATATTCTAAACCATCCAGCTTATAGGTCCTGCATGATAATCTCATAATCAAGTACTGCTACGCAATTTCAGTGACCTCATTTTTTGTTTACATTTATGATTAAGTCAACTTCAAGTGAAGATCACATGACATTAAGGCTTCCTATACGAATGAGGGTTATGTGGTAGTGGTATAAGAACTGAGTCACCACAGGTCACCCAAACCCAAAAAAGCCTGCTCTGAACAGTCAGCGGCATATTCATTCTGTTGGCAAGATGCACTGCATGAGCCCCATCATGAACAAACCAATTCACAATAGTTCACTAAGGATAAATACAGCAGTAAGGACTACAAGAATGTTTCAAATCACAGCAATAATTGTTCCTATTGCTGCCATACTTCAAAATTAGTGGCTTAAAATAGTACAGATGTATTAACTTACAGTTCTATAGATTAAAAGTCTGACACACGTCTCAGTGGCTTAAAATCAAGGTGTCAGTACGGGTGTGTTGCCTTCTGGAGGCTCTAGGGGCAGAATCCATTTCTTTGCATTTCCCAGCTTCTAGAGACCACCTGCATTCCTTGGCTTATGGTCCCCTTCTTCCATCTTCAAAGCCAGCAACAACCAGTTGAGTCCTTCTCACACTGTGTCACTCAGACCTTGCTTCCATGCTCTAATTTCTTTTTCTGACTCTCTTCTTCTACCCTTCTCTTCTACTTTAGATTTTTCAATAAATATTAAACTGCAACTTCAAAAAATTTAAAGGAATACTAAATAATTCAAAGGTCAACTAAACAATTATTTGTAAATTTCTTTAAAAAATATTTCAAGACAGTCTCTCTTTTGTATTATCAGATACAAAAATACTTACAGTTTGATAATATGTACTACATACATAATGTCTAAATTTTCTATAAGTCTAGTTGATTTTATCTTAGTTATCTTTCAAGTAAGTTAACTAGCTTATTTATTTACCTCCCAATATTTATCTTTTAAGTTTCTAACTTACTCAAAAAAAATGCATTTGCCTTCCTAACAGCTTTATTATTGGTAATTATGGTAAGTTGGAGTTCTACAAATAACATACTATGGTGGATAATGTTTAACAATTACTTTCTACCTTTCCAAAAAGGAAATACTCTGATATGTTAATGAAAAGTGACTAGGAAAAAAATTACAAAGATGAATCCAGGAATAACAAAGTCCTGAATGTCATTTAAGGTGAACACTAAAGAGTCAACTTCCAAGGCTGCGTTCATCACTTTAAAAAAGTACCAATTTTGAAACAATGACTTTTAATTCTAAACCAAGAGTATGCAAAAAAGAATTGATGGAGGTTAAATGAATTATTTGTTGAATATAAATATGAAAAAGTGATATTTTTGTAAAAGGTTAACTAGACAATTATTTGTAAATTTCTTTAAAAAATATTTCAAGACAGTCTCTCTTTTGTATTATTAGGTACAAAAATACTTACAGTTTGATAATATGAGGATGACGAAAGAGTTTTAGATTTTGAATTTCTCGTTTTATCTTTCCAACAACATCTAAACTGCGAATCTTCTGTCTATTTAAGATTTTAACTGCCACTTTATGGCCTGTCAATTGATGTTCTCCAACTAAAGAAAAGAAAAAGGAAAAATTTACTGTCATATCAACATAATTATTTATTCATGTTTTCTTTCACCATGCCCTCAATTCCTTTACTCATATATACCCCTTTTATATCATTTATTGCACAGATCTGAAGTTCTCTTTTTACGTATGTCTCTTCTACTAGATATACTCCTTGAGGAGAGAAACTGTATCTCAGTCATCTCTGTATCCTCAGCTCCTAGCACAGAGATGTTCATTAAATATTTGTGGAAAGGATTACTGAATTCTATATCCCTACATAAAAATATAATCAACTTTAAGACATCTTTTGGACAAAATTCAATATATTTTGTTCATCTCTTTATTTCTCCTCTTCTGCTTATTGCAAGCCTTTGTATTATAAAAGAATAAATAACCACTACAATAAAAACTCACAACTACAGCAGTTTCATCACTATTTCATCAGAAAATTCACATGTAGCCCTTTTTTTGCCTTTTCCATAGTCTTCTTGTTTTCTCCCCATTTGATGGAATATCTATCTCTTTCAAACCTTCATAGTATATTTATAAAACTCATATGTCATTTGCCATTTTTAATCCATTACAAACATTTGTGTTTGTAACAAATCATATGACCTGAACAATGAGCTCATACCCTCCTCGAATAAGAGTACTCATCTGAATCTCTCAGGAAATACTTGAGCACACTGTTTTGTACATACAGATACTAAATAAATGTATGCTATGTTAAATGAAACAATAGTCCTTCCCCTTTTTCATATAACACATTCATAGTATCCACATTAATAGTGATGTCCTAAAATACTATTCAGATAAAAAAATTCCCTCACTCAGTAAACAAATTTGTCAGCCACCTCTCCTTCATCCCTCAATTCTATTCCAAACCTTCACCATTCTCTTCAAAACACCTATCCAACCCTTCACTCCTTTCAGCAGACAACAGCAGGAAAATAAAGTCCTTAGGGGTGATTTCCTCTATCTTAAAAGCTTACTTATATCTACATCCCTCCTTCCCCCAGTCTCAGAGATGTTGTGGTCTTCCTTTCAAAGCCAGACTCATCATCTTGTGCCCTCGAACCCGTCTTTTCTATGCTCTCATGTTCACCCTTTTTCTTTTCTCATAGCTCTTTCTTCTCAGCTTATCAACATCCCATCCAATCTTCCATCCATCCTGTATCTTACCACTAGCTTCCAACATTTATCTCATCAAATTTCTCAAAACAGTGGTCTACATTTCTTCCCTTATCACCATTCCTAAATTCATTCTTCTGCCTCCACTCCCCTACTGAAATCAAAGTGTCTCAAAAGACCCATTAACCTTCAAGCCAGGATACTTTTTCAGTTCTCAGATTACTGTAATCTCTGTTACATCGAACACCATTGATTACTCCCTCTTTTAGGTGGCATTGCTCTCTCCTCATTTTTTTACTCTCAGATGGGCTCTTTTATGTCCTCCACCTGCTCTTTAAAGGTTAGTGTCCCCAGGTTTCTAACATAGGCCCAAGGTAGATTCTTAAGTTATCTTATCCATCTCTCATAATTTTAATTACCACCCATATGACAATGACTCTGCCCCCTCCTTCAAATTCATATATTACAAGATTAACACCCACAAACACCTCAAATTTAACACATTCAAAACTAAATTCAGAATTCTCCTCTTCTTTCTCTGCCAGTCCTGTGTCCTCTACTTCATTTGGTGCTCAGCACACAGCCTATTATACTAGAAACAAAGGAGTCAGCTGATATTCTCTCCTGAATATTTCCTGGAGTCAAGTTTCAACTCATATGACAAAAATATTAACAACAACGACCAAAGTGACAATTAATGGCATTTATTAAGTGTTTATTATGAACTAAGCATTATTCTAAGTGCTAGCTGCCCTGCTCACTCAACCCTACAACTCCTCTATGAAGTATATTATTCTCCAGCATACAGATGACAAACATGAGGCACAGAGAAGTTAAATAACTCATCTAAGGTCACTTAGTAAGTGGTAGCACAACATGTGACTAGAAGCTGTCTGACTTCAGAGACAGCATGTTTAACCACAACACAATAATGCCCCAGTCAGAGTAATACAAACATGAAACAGACTGACGTAAGAACTGAGTTTCCTGTCCTGGAAATTATTTTTGTCTTAATAACTTTCTCAAGCAGTAAATTATCTCAAAAACCTTAATGAAGTTGGAAAATTACTTTGCCAGCATATAAAACAATCAAATTGGAAGAAATCAAGTTCAGGCAACATAACTTACAAACATTCCAAAATATATTGCCAGGAGTCAAGAAAAACATTATTGATTTCAGAGACTTTCTAGTCAATTAAAATAACCTAAATGATTTCTTGATGCTTAAGTAGTTTATTAGTCACCTTTGAGAATTTTATAATACCCAAACACTTGCCTGGATGGCCTAATAAGTATGTTTCTCTCTTCAAATCCCTGATAACCTCAATAAAATTAATCAGCATTGCAATATCCTTGTCAATACGATAGGGAATAAGAATTAAATTCTTCCTTTCCCATTTGATAACTAAAATTACTGTCTGCTGAGAACATATGTGATCTTTCCAGATCAAAGAAGACCAAGGACTATTAACAGCCAAGCAAATGGGTGTTTTGTTTTTTAATGCCGCATGGTTATAATCTGGAAAACAAGCAAACAAAAAAGTAAATGAATTCACTCCTTACTTTGTCTGTGATATCTGAGGAAATACCTGACTCATTTATCTTTATAAATAAAAGAAAATTTCTCTACGAAACAATGAAAAAGAAATGGCATTTTCCCTTAAAATGGTTAAGCACAATGAGAAGCTAATTAGATATCTGAGGTCAAAAGAGTGAAATGCATTAAGAATTCCCCCTCTTTTTGATGAATTATACTAGCCTCTTTTGCCTAATAACACCTTGAGTGAATTAGTACTTAGCCATAATTAATTAAATCCAAATAATGTGTCATAATCACATTCCATCTGAAAGCCAAATGACTATTCCTAAATATCCTGTAATAAAAACAAATTTAAGATTAAGAATTTCTTTTATGTATATTACAGACATCAAATTTTCTTTATGTAAATTGAAAGAAAAGAAATTGAAAGAAAAGGTTTGGATTCATCAAAGTTTTATTCCTATCCATTTAATTAATTTAAAAACATTTGCTGAGTACTTTCTACATGGAAAGACTGCGTTGGTCATAGACAAATGAAAAAGATTTTAAAAGTAAATCTTTTAAAAGATTTCTTTAATAGGAGGAAAAAACCAACTGCAATAAAAGAGCTGAAATGAATTTTGTATGGCATTATATCTGTCTGAAGACTGTGTCAAGGACACCTTATTTGTAAATGGTAAATGAGAAAGAACACTATAAAAACACCAAGGATGGAAAAACTTGCCTAAACTTATCATGTATATATATAAGTAAATATGCAAATCAATACCTATTTGGAGCGATAAGGGACATTCATGTGTTGAGTAGCTATTTAATGAATGCCCACTGTGGTAAGTGCTGCACTAATTACACTTACATTACACTTGGGATATAAGTGGTAAACAAGTTCTTTCACATGGCTAGTTGTATCCCCCAATATCTATTGTACTTTTCTTTCCCAGATATAAGATGACCAAATTACACCTGAGCACAAGTCTACCCAGAATATAGACTGCAATCCAGCATCTCTTGTAACTACAATGTGGCCATGTGAGTATGTTCTGGCCACTGACATGTCAATGACAATGACATGTAGGAAATAGCCCTAACAACTTCTTCCTCATCCCTTCCTCCTTCCCAAAGCCTGGATTTCAAAGCCATCATTCTGAACCCTGATGTCAGAGTTAGGCAAGGGGGAGCAACAGAAGAGAGAAGCCCATGCTTTTGAAACCATCAGGCATGATAACAGTATAAATCAACTGCTCAGACTTCGGCAACAGAGCAAAAACACTCCTATCTTGCTTAAGCCAATTTTGTTTTGAAGATTTGCACTCACTGCTGAATCTAAATAATACATTCAGAACACTTTAAAAGTCAAAAGGTTGAAATTTATTTCAAATTTCCAATTTTGCTGAGCAACCATATGTGAATTGATTGGAATAAATTATAATTTATAGCCCATACAATTTACTGAATTAAAGAGTTAAAGAGCTCTACAAAATTATCACCCATTAGGGGTCCACTTTGTTTTTCTTAAATTTTATCCAAAATACTCTCTAAAGCTATAGAATTTTAAGGGAAAAAATCTACATTCAAACTATGCCTTTTATAATTTTACATTTGATAAAGGAAAGAGCTATCCCACAGAAGGAATGGAACAATTTATATTGTTCTGGAAGGCAGAACTGGGGATAATTGATAGAAGTTCTTTAAACAGAGTCATCTGTTCTATGAAGTTTCTCCTCACCTCCCTTTTTTTCACCACTCTGGCCTTGTATTAGTCCATTTGTGTTGCTTATAACAAAATACATGGAACTGGGTATTTTATAAAGAAAACCAAAATTTATTGCTTACAGTTTCTGAGGCTGGGAAGTCCAAAGTCCATCTGGTGGTGGTGAGAGTGACCTATGGGTCTCACATTGCAAGATGGTGGAAGCACAGAGAGCAGAGAGAAAGAGACAGACTCTCTTCTTCTTTTAAAGCCCTCAGAGCCATGCCCTGACCACCATTTTTAATCCATTCACTACTGCACAGTCCTACAACCCAATCACCTCTTCAAGGCCCCACCTTATAATTACCATAATAGGAGTTCCCACCATGTTAACAGTCACAGTGGGGGCTAAGTTTCCAATACATAAAACTTGGGGGATACAATTCAAGCTTCATGAGTTTTGGGGGGACATAATTCAATCCACTACAGGCCTATACTAAAAATTTCCTTTTTTTAGATAACTACTGTACCCTGAATATACTTTTTCCACAAAATGTATAACACTATCTAACATTTACTCGATTCTCAGTTCATCTCTGAATAACAGATGAAGATGGAGGGAGTAAGAGGTCAGGTCCCTT